ACAGTAGATATAGTACCGCCAGCCGAAACTGACAAAAGGACAGGGTGGATATACCTGCTGAGTAAGTCCGAGTTAGCCGCTCAAATGCAGAGATTTGGCTTGGATAGTCATGGTACAGTAGACGAGATGCGAAGGAGAACGGCGAAGTTTATCCGGGAAGGGAAAACTAGCCCACAACCGTCCGCAGAATCTTTCGTATTTCCAACAAGGGAGAGAAGCCTCTTCGTCCCGAGTCTGACCATGATTCCGACTCAAACGACGACCACCGTTACTACCACACTGTCAACAAGCATTATGACGTCTTCAGCGATCGGATGTCAGGCAGGAAACAGGAATGCATTTGAACAATGCCAAAGTCCTCCTCCTGTCACTTCGAGACAAACATCCTTTGATCCGCCACTTAAAGCTTACAAGTGGAATGTCACTTTTGATGGACGGCGTGATCCCGTGACATTTCTAGAAAGAATAGAAGAGATCTGCACGGCACAGGGAATAGCCATGGACAGATTAGTACCACATTTACCGGAACTATTGCGAGGAAACGCCGCTTTGTGGTTTCGCAATATCAGGACTCACTGTTTTACTTGGGAAGATTTTTCGACGCATTTCCGATCAATTCTATTTTCCAGTCCGTTATGAAGAGGACTTGGAAGCGGAAATTGCCAGAAGACGACAACGACCGAACGAATCAGTAACGGAGTACATTACTGACCTACAAACACTGATCAGAAGACATGGAAATATTAGACCCACTCAAGAACTACAGTGGTTGTACAGAAATTTATTACCGGAGTACAGACAATACATACGCCAAAACGATTTTTTGGGACGTACTTTCATTTTCAAAATGGCTAAAGAATATGAACTACTTGAAAAGGAGTTACGAGGATCATTGACTAGTACAGAGAGTCGATATCAGGAAGTACCGAGATATAGACAAGAACCGAGATATCAACAAGAACAGAGATATCGTCAAGAACCGATACAACATCAAGAACCGAGATATCAACAAGAACAGAGATATCGTCAAGAACCGATACAACATCAAGAGCAAAGATATCGACGACCGACAGAAGTAACCTTTCCCACAACCGAAGAACTTAACCGAAGCCGACGGGAACCGATAAATCAATTTAACCGAAGCCAACCGGAACTGATAAACAAAAATCGAGAAATGGCAGATGCCAACAGAAATCGCCAAGATTCATCTGATAAATATCAAAAGAAATCGACCGCTCAGAACCGAGAAATTCAAAACAATCAAGCATCAACTTATCAAAACCGAAATAACACCCGCACAACGACATCTCCACCGCCGATCAAACGAAATAACGACCGTCGAGACTTATCACCAGGCCAAGAACCGAGTCGTAACCGCCAACCTGTAGCAAACACATCTAAACAAGAGACAATTCAGAGGGATAGATCGGAGACCCAGTGCTGGCGGTGTGGCAAATTCGGTCACACGCGCAGCCAATGCACCGGGCCGGCTAAATTATTCTGTTCACGATGCGGACGGCCAGGGGTGATGTCACGTGAATGCAATTGTACGAATTCGGAAAACTCCAACCGCGCTGGGCCAAACCGAGGCGCACCCAGTGCGTGACTGAAGCCTCACACCTAGACAAGACTAATAAAAATCACGGACCGACGATAGCTGTTAGATTTCAAAACACGGACTTTATTGCCTTAATTGATACCGGAGCAACGAATTCTTATTTTGGAAAGAAAGTATTTTCAGTTTGTGATCAATCCAAAGGAATCCTTGTTCAACCGACCGTTAAGAGTGCTAAGTTAGCAAACGGTACTCTAGAAACTATACAGAGAGCATACCGTATCAGTCTGAAAATTGGACAGTCAAGATTAGTAGATATTTTCAATTATTTACCGCAATTAGCCTATGACATGATAATAGGAATGGATATTTTGAGTCGTCATCCATTTAGACTAGATCTCCAGAGGAACGAAGTATATTTAAATGAAGAGCTTTTGGATAAGCCATCTCAAACTAAGCTGGTTAACAATCTGGATACAGTTGACCGTGAGGAGACTTTGACACTGACCGCAGAACAAGAAAATCGTCTTCAGAGATTTTTGAAAGAAGAATTATCACAGTTTGAATTAATACAGGGTACTACACCGTTAATTCAACACGAAATCAAACTGATTGATTGTGAACCGATCAAACAGAGATACCGCCCGCAGAATCCGAAAATGCAAGAAGTTATCAACACCGAGCTAGAGAGAATGCTGACCGAAGACATAATAGAACCGTCTGATAGTCCTTGGAGTTCACCGATAGTTATGGTAAGGAAGGATGGAAAGTATCGATTCTGTGTAGACTTCCAAAAGGTCAATGCTGTGACCAAGAAGGATGCTTATCCTCTTCCCTACATAAATGCTATTCTAGACAAACTTCGCAGAGCACGTTACATTTCTAGTATAGATCTTAGACAAGGATATTGGCAAGTACCGTTAACTCCGGAGAGCAGAGCTATCACAGCTTTCACCGTTCCATCCAAAGGATTGTTTCAGTTCAAAGTTATGCCTTTTGGACTTCATTCTGCCGCAGCTACTTTTCAACGACTTATGGATCGCATTATAGGACCAGAACTAGAACCATTTTGTTTTGCATACCTAGACGATATTATAGTCTTAGGAGATACCTTCGAACAACACTTAGATAATTTACAAGAAGTGTTCCGCCGCCTGAGACGAGCCAATCTCAAAGTTAATCCAGAAAAATGTCAATTTGGAAGAAGATCGTTACGATATCTGGGACATTTAGTAACCGCCAATGGGATACAGACCGATCCGGACAAGATATCAGCTATACAAGATCTACCCGCCCCGAATAACGTCCGGAGTTTAAGACGATTTTTGGGAATATGTTCTTGGTATAGGCGTTTTGTGCCAGGATTTTCTCAGATAGCGTTACCACTGAACCGGCTTCTAAAGAAAGGCATCCGCTGGCATTGGAATGAAGAGCAACAGAAAGCTTTCAGTTGTCTTAAAGAACATCTCATTAAAGCTCCTGTTCTGACTTGCCCAAACTTTGAGAAACCGTTTACCTTACAAACAGACGCAAGTGATGCTGGACTAGGTGCCGCCCTCATTCAACACCACACCGACGGAGATCATATTATTGCGTACGCTAGCAGGACACTCTCGCCTCCAGAGAAGAATTATTCAGTCACAGAAAAGGAATGCCTTGCAATTGTCTGGGGAATCGAGAAAATGCGACCCTATCTTGAAGGTAGCCGATTCACCGTAGTCACCGATCATCAATCTCTACGATGGTTACATTCTTTGAAGAATCCAAGTGGAAGACTAGCACGGTGGAGTGTGTTTCTTCAACAATACGACTTCGAGATAAGATACCGTAAAGGAGTTTTGAATAAAGTAGCAGACGCTTTATCCAGAGATCCGATTCCGACCGAATCCACAGAATTTTCAGCCGAAACACTGTTCGCCGTAGATGAAGACAAACAATGTCCGTGGTATTCAAGTAAAATGGCAGAAGTCACATCAAGACCGGATATGTATCCAGACTATCGTATTCAAAACAACCGGTTATATCGACATTTCTTTGACTAAGCGATATGAAGGAGAACCCGTCAACCGATCCGTGGAAACTCTGTGTTCCAAAAGCAGCTCGTTTGACTGTACTTAGGGAAAACCATGACGAACCGACTGCTGGACATCTAGGAATTGCAAAGACTATAACTCGGATTGCTACTCAATATTACTGGCCAGGCATGTTCAGAGATATTACGCAGTATGTACGAAAATGTGTCTCATGTCAACAGTTTAAAACCTCTCAACAACAAACACCAGGAAAAATGCAACCGCCGAAAATCAACGCTCCTTGGAAAAGTATTAGTATCGACCTGGTAGGCCCGCTTCCAAGATCAGCAAAAGGATGTAATTTTATTGTAGTTATTCAAGACCGTTTTACAAAATGGATTCACTGCCGCGCTATTCGAAAAGCCACCGCCCGTAGTATAAATCAGATTGTTTATGAAGACATATTGATGAAGTTTGGATGTCCCGAGATACTCATTTCTGATAATGGTACTCAATTTACCGGGCATCTGTTCAAAGAACTTCTGAAGGAATATAACATTCAGCATCACCTGACTACACCGTACACCCCGCAAGCAAACCCTGTAGAACGAGCAAACAAAACCATAAAGACTATGGTATCTCAGTTTTGTGAAAAGGATCAGAAGAAGTGGGATGTTTATCTGCAAGACCTAACGTTTGCATTTAACACTTCTAAAAGTGAGTCAACCGGTTTCACTCCGGCGTTTTTAAATTTTGGCCGCGAACTGGACCTACCTAAATCCCTCAGAAGAACCGAACAACCGCCGCCAGACACCGTAACTATCGAACCGACTATGAAAGACATAACCGCTACCACTCAGAGATTGCAGCAACTCAGAGAGACATACGAGTTAGTTCATTTAAACTTGTCTAGAGCGTTTAACACGCAAAGTCATCACTATAATTTACGTCGACGCGATTGGAAATGCAAAATAGGTGACCACGTTATGAAGAAGGAACATCACCTATCTTCGGCAATAAAAGGATTTTCCGCTAAATTGGCTCCTAAGTATTCTGGACCTTATCGCGTGATTAGAGTTCTCTCACCGGTAACGTATGACATCCAATCCCTATCTGGTAAAAAGATAAACCGGGTACACGTTAAGGATTTAAAACCCGCTTTTTAATCTTTATTTTCAGCATGCCAAAAACAAACCGCCCTTATTAATTTTTTTTTATCAGTAAAACACTTAAGTTTTTTTTGGGAATTTTTCTACTAGAAATTATTGATAATATAAATAATTGATTTTGGATTTTTTGAGAGTATAATATACGTTTTTTTTTTAATTTTAGTTTACTGAAAGAGTGAGAAAAAAAAAAAAGATAAATAAATTTTTCTTTTTTTTTAAGAAAGAAAGGGGGGTGTGTAACGAAGTTACTATTTTTTATATATTTAATTAACTTTTTCAATTTTTCCGCCGATTACGAATTTTATTTAGTTAATTTATCTTTCTACTCTTCCATACATTAGAAAATTTTGATTCTTTTTCGAGAAGATAGTACTTTTTATATAAAATTTTATTTGTTGAATTAACATACGAACCGAACTCATTAATTAGCTTAAAACGCGCTAATTAATAATTGAACGCATTCCATGCGCTCGATGCAGCCCGCTTGGTACCGCTAGTACTAGATTGGCGTATCGAGACGCGCACCCGGCTCGGCGCACGCCGCCACCACGACGGTTTTCAACTGGAGGGAAGGACTGGGGAAAATAAGAAGCGACGCGCTAGCCAGAGGAGAAGAGTTCCTACACCACCACCACCGAGAGTACTAGCACCAGCTCCAGCACCAGCACCAGCAGTCACAGTCGCCGCAGTCCGCCCCGCAGAAGCCAGCACCGAGACACCGCCGCCGCCTAGCAGTTGGGAAGCCTGCCCGTCCTCCGTTTTTATTGAATTCACCGTCGCTCCGAAACCGCCCGCAAGGTAACCTTCAGGATTAGTTTGGTATAGTATTGAGTATCGAGAATTCATTGTTTATTTGGTTTTTAATTTTTTTTTTATTTTTTTTCAGAAAGGAATCCTGTACCGTGGCAAGGTCTAAATAGTTTAGAATAAATTCCAAAAGTAAAAAAAAAAATATATATTTTACATATCAATAGCAAATCTGTAAAATCAAACCCGCTTGAGTTATCAATAGAGACTTGGAAAAGCAAGTAAACTATGAGTGTGATAAATCCCGGTAGTTTGCTTCAAACTCTAAATTCCTTATTGATAATTTAATTAAAAATCATTAGGTCAGCTCTTAGATTTTTTTTTATCACTTAAAACAGATTTGGGTTGTTAATGAGGACTAGGTAAAATAAGTAAGTTGTGAGTGCGAAAAATCCCGGCAAGTTGCTTCGAACTCCAGGTTCCTCATTGACTACTCAGATAAACTCTTTAGTTTTTTTTTCCGAAAACCACCCGCAGTAAATCATTCTATCAGTTCTATTAATAAATAAGCGGCATTCTCTAGTGAAGATTAGGAACGTGGGAAATTTGTGAGTGCGATAAATCCCGGCAGGTTTCTTATACACCGATCCCTTCACTATAGATATTCTCGCTGAACTCTTATAGTTTTCCGCATTTCCTTTCCTTCGTAATTTAATTTTTTTTTATTTCTTTCCGTTGCCTTATTTAGACCTTAGCCCCGCCGTACTTTTAATTTTAAATAAATATTTTTTTTTAGTATTTTCTTATTCTCACCGACATACTTTTAAAAATAAATAGAATAATTATTAGAACAATTTCTTGTTAACTCCGAAACATTTTTAATTCAATTAAATAGGAATTACACATTTTCTTATTGACACACCCGTATTTATTTTGATATTTTGATTAAAACCTTTAATAGAATATTTTCAATTCTTTACACTATCACTCTCAAGTAAATTTTGTCTTCCTTTTTCTTTTTGGATTTATTAGCAAGTGCTAACATTATTTATTTTTTTTTATTTAAGAATAAATTATTTTTTTTATTATTAACTTGGGAGTGCCGTCCTTCCCCTAACAGTCTCTAGTATTTATTAATATTCTTTTCTGTGTAGATTTGCTCCAACCCGGTGACGAGACTCTCCGCATCGGAGCCAATTTAAGCGCTAGGTGTCTCAACTAGCCACCTACACATCGCCTTGCCTTCCGCCCTGATTAAGAAGAAAGACATTTTTCTTTGAATCTAAAATAAACTTTTGACTTGTAAATAGTTTTGGGAAAACACGACCTGCTCTTTATTTTATAACTACAGACTATTGTTTAATTTATTTTTCCCCACCTCTGAGCTAAAAGAACTGCAACACTGCCATACATCTCCACTGTTTAAAAGCTACCCGAACCGGCACTAGTGGGCCTCTAACCACTTATTAACTAGAGGTGGCGCCCGAGATCTTCTAAAAGCAACAATACAAGAAACTTAAGCGTCAGCAACGCAACTCAGAAAGAGCTACGTTGCAATCAATTACACGCTTTTTCAGCTTGTTCTAAATTTATGTACCTTCGAATGTCTAGATCGACCGGACTATTTAAAAACGTGCAGAATATTTTGTCTCAAAATGGTCACATTTTAAAAATCAAAAATACTAGAATATCAGTCGGTATCATAATATTCTTTGGTATGTTATATTGTAACATTAAATCAAATTAAAACTTGATTCAAAAAGTTATACAGGGCGAGACAAAATTAATATTGAACATTGGTCACCTTTAAAAGCAAGTTGCCCTTTTCTTTTAAATGGAACACACAGTATATTATTCCGATATTCTATGGAAATGCCTACCTCTCAATAAAATATCTTTCTAGATGAGATACACCGGACGGGTGTAAAAGTAAAAGTGTTTTGCTGTATTGTGGTGATTTAGTGTTTTATTTTACTGCGTAACACCAAAGGTTCCAACCCCCCAACTGTAATAGGTTCAATTCTGCTTTGTTTCGTAACTACAGGAGGTTAAAGTCTTCATTTTTCGATTTATTATAATTATCTTCCAAGTGCTTTTAGCAATTCGAATGAAATTTTGAGGGTAAAAGTTAGTATTATAGTACTACATATTTTATAGTATTAAAAAAGTGTCGACATATTCACCAACTAGAGATGTGTGTATAAAAAAATCACTGGCATATTTTTGTAAAAAGAAATGTGCGCCACTGACGGAAGAAAATTATAATAAATCGAAAAATAATGAAGGCTTTAACCCCCTGTAGCTACGAAACGAAGCAGAATAGGACCTATGTTGATATGAAAAGTAAATCTTATATTTTTGCCTGAGAAATCTCTCCAAAAGATATTGCACATTTATAACACCCTGTATATTATTAAATAAGACACAAGTACGGTATTCAGGTTTATATAATACATGTATTTTTAAAGTTAAACATTTATAATTTTCACTTATAATATGCTATTATTATAATCGTAAATATTTTTAATTATTTTATTAGATATGAACACAAAAATTATTTATTAATTTATAATACAAATAATAAACAAAATAAATACTAAAAATACAAAATATATCACACTTAAATAATTCGAATTCAGTTTATTAAAAGTTGTTTTATCAGATTAGGGACACAAGTTTAAATATTTTACTGTTGTCCAGTATCAGTCTATATTGAAAAAACTTGTCATGTTCATTAATTATTATAATTTATATAATAATACTGTTTGGTAACAATAGGAACTGGTATTATATTCAATTTAACTTACATAATAAATATATATAATTATTTCTTTAAATCACACATTACTGTTATTATTATATATTATATGCTTATAGTAATATTGTTGAATTTTGTTTTTGTGTCATTTTTCTTTACTAATGTGAGTCCATAACTTCCGACTAATTTTGACCAGTTATTATACACAGTACAACTAATTATATTGCCTAAAATTACTGAGACGAGGTTCCGTAGTTGGAATATTCTGTTGAAAGTTCCAAGTTTTAGTACTACATATTTTATAGTATTAAGAAAGTGTCGACATATTCACCAAATAGAGATGTGTGTATAAAAAAATCACTGGTCTATTTTTGTAAAAAGAAATGTGCGCCACTGACGGAAGAAAATTATAATAAATCGAAAAAGAATGAAAGATTTAACCCCCTGTAGCTACGAAACAAAGCAGAATAGGACCTATGTTGATATGAAAAGTAAATCTTATATTTTTACGTGAGAAATCTCTCCAAAAGATATTGCACATTTATAACACCCTGTATATTATTAAATAAGACACAAGTACAGTATTCAGGTTTATATAATACATGTATTTTAAAAGTTAAAAATTTATAATTTTCACTTATAATATGCTATTATTATAATCGTAAATATTTCTAATTATTTTTTTAGATATGAACACAAAAATTATTTATTAATTTATAATACAATTAATAAACAAAATAAATACTAAAAATACAAAATATATCACACTTAAATAATTCGAATTCAGTTTATTAAAAGTTGTTTTATCAGATTAGGGACACAAGTTTAAATATTTTACTGTTGTCCAGTATCAGTCTATATTGAAAAAACTTGTAATGATCATTAATTATTATAATTTATATAATAATACTGTTTGGTAACAATAGGAACTGGTATTATATTCAATTTAACTTACATAATAAATGTATATAATTATTTTTTTAAATCACACATTACTATTATTATTATATATTATATACTTATAGTAATATTGTTGAATTTTGTTTTTGTGTCATTTTTCTTTACTAATGTGAGTCCATAACTTCCGACTAATTTTGACCAGTTATTATTCACAGTACAACTAATTATATTGCCTAAAATTACTGACGAGGTTCCGTAGTTGGAATATTCTGTTGAAAGTTCCAAGTTTTAGTACTACATATTTTATAGTATTAAGAAAGTGTCGACATATTCACCAAATAGAGATGTGTGTATAAAAAAATCACTGGTCTATTTTTGTAAAAAGAAATGTGCGCCACTGACGGAAGAAAATTATAATAAATCGAAAAACAATGAAGGCTTTAACCCCCTGTAGCTACGAAACGAAGCAGAATAGGACCTATGTTGATATGAAAAGTAAATCTTATATTTTTACGTGAGAAATATCTCCAAAAGATATTGCACATTTATTTATAACACCCTGTATATTATTAAATAAGACACAAGTATGGTATTCAGGTTTATATAATACATGTATTTTAAAAGTTAAAAATTTATAAGTTTCACTTATAATATGCTATTATTATAATCGTAAATATTTTTAATTATTTTTTTAGATATGAACACAAAAATTATTTATTAATTTATAATACAAATAATAAACAAAATAAATATTAAAAATACAAAATATATCACACTTAAATAATTCAAATTCAGTTTATTAAAAAAGTTGTATTACCAGATTAGGAACACAAGTTTAAATATTTTACTGTTGTCCAGTATCAGTCTATATTGAAAAAACTTGTCATGTTCATTAATTATTATAATTTATATAATAATACTGTTTGGTAACAATAGGAACTGGTATTATATTCAATTTAACTTACATAATAAATATATATAATTATTTCTTTAAATCACACATTACTATTATTATTATATATTATATACTTATAGTAATATTGTTGAATTTTGTTTTTGTGTCATTTTTCTTTACTAATGTGAGTCCATAACTTCCGACTAATTTTGACCCAGTTATTATTCACAGTACAACTAATTATATTGCCTAAAATTACTGACGAGGTTCCGTAGTTGGAATATTCTGTTGAAAGTTCCAAGTTTTAGTACTACATATTTTATAGTATTATGAAAGTGTCGACATATTCACCAAATAGAGATGTGTATATAAAAAAATCACTGGTCTATTTTTGTAAAAAGAAATGTGCGCCACTGACGGAAGAAAATTATAATAAATCGAAAACAATGAAGGCTTTAACCCCCTGTAGCTACGAAACGAAGCAGAATAGGACCTATGTTGATATGAAAAGTAAATCTTATATTTTTACGTGAGAAATCTCTCCAAAAGATATTGCACATTTATAACACCCTGTATATTATTAAATAAGACACAAGTACGGTATTCAGGTTTATATAATACATGTATTTTTAAAGTTAAACATTTATAATTTTCACTTATAATATGCTATTATTATAATCGTAAATATTTTTAATTATTTTTTTAGATATGAACACAAAAATTATTTATTAATTTATAATACAAATAATAAACAAAATAAATATTAAAAATACAAAATATATCACACTTAAATAATTCGAATTCAGTTTTTTAAAAGTTGTATTATCAGATTAGGAACACAAGTTTAAATAGTTTACTGTTGTCCAGTATCAGTTTATATTGAAAAAACTTATCATGTTCATTAATTATTATAATTTATAAAATAATACTGTTTGGTAACAATAGGAACTGGTATTATATTCAATTTAACTTACATAATAAATATATATAATTCTTTTTTTAAATCACACATTACTATTATTATTATATATTATATACTTATAGTAATATTGTTGAATTTTGTTTTTGTGTCATTTTTCTTTACTAATGTGAGTCCATAACTTCCGACTAATTTTGACCAGTTATTATTCACAGTACAACTAATTATATTGCCTAAAATTACTGACGAGGTTCCGTAGTTGGAATATTCTGTTGAAGGTTCCAAGTTTTGTGCACTTGATCCATTTTTTGTTGTCACAAAACCGTTGTTTCCACTGTACGAAACGGCACCTTCTTTAACTTTACAATTCAACGTAATTTTTCCATTATTTCCAACATATTTGACGGAACCACTGCAATTGCCAATTGTGATAACACAATTGTTTCCAACCACCTTGACCACTCCGAAATTATCCGCAATTTTCAGCGAACAATTGTTTCCGATAACCACAATGGTACACAAGTTTGTAGAAAATGACAGATTTAAATTATTGCCCACGATTTTTTTAGTTTTACTTAAATTTGTAGCCGGCACAGGAACCACCATTGTACTAAATTTCGAAACTAAACACCAGTCAAACGATACTACTGCAATTCGATTTCATTCAAGCGGTCTAAATATATTTATACACATATCCACGCGCTTAAGTATTGTGTGATTTACAGTTAAGGGGATTTACATTGTAAAACATCAGAGATATCGGGCGCTACGTGTATAGTGAGATGAGTTTACGTTTCGTATGCGAATGTCAATAGTACATTGATTAACTGCTATTAATTTGTTTATCGCAAATATCTCTATCGCTTTAGCTAATTAATGCATTAAATTAAACAATGCAATAAAAATAGCTTTCTAATATTTATCAGTAACGTCCTGATGATACTGATGACTAATATAACAAAGTACAAATTATTTTACTTTATTTATTATACAGGGTGGTCCGAACTGTATTCGGGAAACTTTGACAGCATTTTGGCGTATGTTCATAGGTTACTGTTGAATAAAACAAAGGCACAATTGCATATACCGGGTGCGTCTCAAAAGTGGCTCACTCCTATAACTTTTTTATTCTTTTGGTTAAAAAACGAGATTTGGTATGAAATAAATAAAAAAATATATTTGGCAAGCGGGGCGATAGCCCCCCTTTTTTAAGTGATAATTAGGTCTTTGTGCAAGTTATGCCGGTTTTATACAACATTTACATAGTCGTAATCACAATCATAGTCATAATCATAAACGTTAAACTATCCACCACCAACCTGTTGACATCTACCATGAACTTAGCCTTTAATTATGTTACCCAACTTCACTGATATAAAAATTATGATTATGAAAATGTTCTATAAACGCACATTAAATTGCGTTGTGATTATGACGATGATTAAGATTACGACTTATGCAAATGTTGTATAAACCCGGCATTAATATTGACCAGTGTTCATTTTTTTCTGTCATAGCCAGTGTTTTAGAGTTGAGAAGGAAATAAAATAAAGTCGAGGCAACAAACCGTATATTGGTAATTGGTATTATACACAAAATTATATTGGTATAATGGTATTATAAAAAAAAACTAACAGTAGTTGAAACTAATGGTGGGTTCATAGAGCACGCTATTTGCGCTATATGGTACTACTTTTCATGCACGAAATTGCTCCGCGAACAAAAAGTAGTATCAAATAGCGAAAATAGTACACTCTAGCATGGCCTTTCCGTACACCCTGTGTCCAAATTTTTCCAACCAATCTTCCATAATAAAAAAATAAAATAAATACCATAAAAAATAAAAGTAACAAACGGGTAACCAAAATAGAACATAATTTACGACGATAAACGACGCTTTCTATGATATAAAATATAGAAATATTATTAACTTTTTGTTAGAATGTAAAATTTTTCAAGACAAGAAATTTCAAGAGTCTTGCAAGGCAAGACAAGACTTTGCCATTCAAGAAACCTGCAAGACAAAATTTCTTGTCTTGAATTTCAAGACAAGACAAGAAATTGATTTTCAAGACAAGAATTCTTGTCTTGTGCAACACTATTTTTTTATTTTTATTATTTACTATTTCGAAATTTAAAATATAATTTGTTTTTGGATGACTATGTCAAAAGTTGACATATGATATGTCATTCGATTCAAAGTGTCATTTTCTATCGAATAAAGTAAAAAAATACCGGGGGTGCCATTTAAAAATTAAAAGTTGTAGTCATTTCCGGTGAAACCAGAAGCGACCGAAAACAATTGAATACGTCAATCGATCCCAATTTATGTCATATACTAACATACCAAATCTCGTTGTTTTATCTGAAACAATAAAAAAGTTATAGGGGGTGAGCCACTTTTGAGACGCACCCGCACATAGAGATAAAATGAATAATCATAATGAGTTCTTTATTGAATAAATTGACCATCAACGTTTTACTCATACTGAGCACTGCAAAAATTACGGTTTATACAGGGCGAGTCATATATAAGCGCAAAATTTTTTTAAATGCAGTATATCTCGACCCCAGAAACACGATTATGAGATTTTTAAAAAAAATTGAATTTTTTGACTTCTTTTTAAGGTTCCGTACCCAAAGGGTAAAAACGGGAACCCTATTACTGAGACTTCGCTATCCGTCCGTCCGTCTGTCACAAAGCTCTATCTTATGAACCGTTATAGCTAGACAGTTGAAATTTTCACAGATAATGTATCTATGTTGCCTAACCTGTGCAAAGTACAGAGACTGGCATGTATCTGCATCACAGGTGCCATGAGAACATGTTCAACAGCAGCAATGGAGGTCATTCTAGACCTAACACCACTGCACATTGTCGTCGGTAGTTATGCCAATGCGACAATGATTAGAATGGTTACTGACGGAAACAGTACTGGGAGAATTTTCAGGTCAGGGGCTTGGAACACCCTCAAAAAGAAAATTCCACTGCTCCAACTCCCAGTGGATGGCATACCAAGAATTTACAACTTTGAGAAACACCTCACTGTAGTATTGAGTAATAAAAAGGATTGGAAGAAAGAGACGCTTACTCAGCATATAAAAGAGCATACCATCATGTGGTATACGGATGCTTCCAAAACCAAAGCAGGGACAGGGATGGGAGTATTTGGGCCGAAAACTGAATACTCCGAACCAATGGGCACCTACCCCAGTATCCTTCAGGCAGAAATTTGCGCTATCGAAAGATGCGTACAATTTATCTTAGATAGGAACTATCGAAAACAGGAAATTGCCATCCTATCCGATAGTCAAGCAGCACTTAACGCGATCAACTCAATAACCATCAATTCGAAGTTGGTCAAAGAATGCCTGGAGAAGCTCAACAAATTAGGCAAAGAAAATAAAGTCCTCCTACTCTGGGTGCCTGCTCACCAAGGGATAGAAGGCAATGAAAAAGCAAATGATCTAGCTAGAGAAGGAGCGAACGCTCCACTAACTGGACCAGAACCGTTCTGTTTTCCAAACGGGAACCAACTGAAAGCGGAACTGAAGAATCTGGAAGACTCCATCCGTAACTTGGAATGGGTGTCCTCCAACGGTCTAAGACACTCGAAAAAGTTCCTTAGAACTTATGACCGAGAAAAATCAAAGGTTTTCTTTAATTTAAGTAAAAACAATCTTCGGATTGTCACGGGGTTTCTAACAGGACACTGTCTCCTCAACGAACACCTCAGTAGGCTGAAACTGAGAAACAACGGCGAATGCAGATTTTGTGGGGAAAATGGAGAAACACCAGAACACCTTATCACTGAGTGCGCCGAGACGACGACCATTCGTGCCATGAACCTTGGCACGTCTGATGTCGAGGATAGAGAGCTGGCCTCTGTGGAGCCGTCTCAGATACTGGCTTTTCTTAAAGCCCTGAGACTGTATGATGAGTTATAACTCGTTATAACTCAAGAAAGGGGAACACACAATAGATCTATAAGGTCGCGGTGATTAACTCCCCTCCTAAACATTCTACATTCTACATCTATGTTGCCTCTATGAGAACAAATACTAAAAACAGAATTAAATAAATGTTTATAAATAAAAAAAGTACTTTCACTAAACATTCTCTTTTAAGTAAGAATTTTACATAGAATCTTTCAAGTCCTCGGTGGCCGCGTGGTTAAAGCGTTAGGACTTTACGCTGCTATGACGTTGGAGCCGTAGTAAGGCAGGTTCGAATCCTAGTCAAAGGGACTTTTTTTTAATCGTATTTTTTTTAATTTTTACATATTTTTACATATTTATTTTTACTTTTTACGTATTTATTATTGATTAATACAATTTTTAGTAATGTGTTTCTTCATTTTTTTTAAATTACTTATACGCGCATTCAAAATTTCAGCTAAATCGGAAAAAAAGTTTATAATAATATAGTGTCTAATGTATAGATAATGAATGGTACGGAACCCTTCGTGCGCGAGTCCGACTCGCACTTGACCATTTTTTTTTAATTTTTATTTATAAAACATAATTTCTTGATAATATGGCAACATAGGTAGTAGATTAATTTTACAATAAAGTAAACCCAGAAAAGATTCAGTGGTTCTCAAAATGTAAGCAAAAAATAATTTTGTGTGAAAATTTTCAAAGTAAAATAACTCTCGTAATTTTGGACTTATTTGAAAAACGGTAAAGAGAAAATATGTTTCTTTTATCGAGATCTACCAGCCCTGAAAATATTTGCATTTATTTATGACTCACCCTGTATACAGATACTGATAGGCGGTTCTATAGGCACACATGTAAATAGAATAACCCAAGTCTATTTTTCAACCTATACAGGGTGTCCCAGAAATAAGTGCAAGTATTTTAAGGGGTGGTAGATCTCGATAAAAGAAACATATTTTCTCTTTATCGTTTTTTAAATAAGTCCAAAATAACGGAGTTATTTTATTATGAAACTTTCCAAAAAAAAATATTTTTTGCTAAAATTATGAGAAGCGCTGAATCTTTTCTGGATTGTCTTTCTTGTAAATTTAATCTAATACCTATGTTTCCATATTATCAAGAAATTATGTTTTATAAATAAAAATTAAAAAAAGAAGTCAAAAAATTCCAAATTATTATTAATTCCAATTTTTTTTAAAGAAGCTCTCATAATCGTGTTTTTGGGGTCGAAATATACTGCTTCTAAAAATATTTGCACTTATTTAGGACTCACCCTGTATAAACCGTAATTTTTGCAGTACTCAGTGTGAGTAAAACGTTGATGATCAATTTCAATAAATATTCATTATCATTAATAATTTTATCTCTATGTTTTCCAAATATGTGTAATTATTGTGTCTTAAAAGAAAGACACAATAATTGTGTCAACAGTAATCTACGAACATACGCCAAAATGTTGCCGAAGTTGTACATTGTACACCCTGTATGCACAGGCTAGTTCGAGAAAGGAAGGGTCATTCACACGTTGTTGTTGCGAAAAAAATAAAAGTAATAAGTAGGATTAAACAAGTGTTTCAAAAAAGCTTGTTATTAACATCCCTGACAGGTTACATCATAGACTTAAAATAAAATATAGACTGAGCATCTCATTCATAAATAGATGGAACATGCGGTCAGACAATGTCTTGTTATTGTTGTGTTATTGTTTTAGGTTA